GGCCTGGTATACACCAGTACGCAACCGCCTGCGACTGCCACTGCTTCCTTGGGATACTACCCGGGACAGCAGACCAGTCGCGCAGGCGAAACACGCGTCGTAACGTTGGCTACGCTTTTGCTTGGAATCTCCCTCGGCCTCGCCCTCTTGTTATAGTTCTTGGTCCCATCAGTTCCCGGTTTGTTCTAGGCACTGTACGATTCTCCGTTTCCTTTTGCGAGCACTGTATCACTCGGGTTTTACCGCTATCGCTATCGCTCGCACTCTCCGACCCTCTCCCTTGCAATCCGCAAACTATACCTCTTCATCCCGATCCTCAAACCCCAAACACTTCGCTTTCCCACACCACATACTCACCCGTAGATAAAGGATGTTCCCGCCACCTCTTTGTTCGATGCTGTCTTCATACTCGCTATCCCTCGACTCTCCTGCCTGCTGACAGACTCTTTGACTTTATTCCACCAGGATCTTGAACCAATCACATAACACCACACTTAGCTATCGAGCTATCCTTTGCCTACGCACCTTTCCATTCGTATGTTTCGACCTGTATATGTTACTACAGTTAATAGTGTTTGGCTCCTGCGATGAGCCTGAGTTCATACCGTACAATTCTGTGGATGCGCGTGAACATGCTGCGAGTGCGCTCGAGGAAGTCGGAATATAACTTGCTTCTGACGCTCATGTCCCCGCCTACGCTGCGTCAGGTCGTCGACACGTAGATAGGCAAGCCATCCACTGCACGACTATTCGCTATGCCTCTTTGCGTGTCGTGTGCACAGCCTGTACCCCACTTATACACCGTGTACCAATCCGCCAACAACGTCCGGCTTGAGCAATGCGTCTGTCCCCGAGGTCCTGCGGCCATCGCTAGGAAGCTTATATGATCATACAGCCATCATGCCACTCATTGGCGGACCCTTACGTCGAACACGACAATCTGATTGTACTTCTGGATCTAATCTTGCTCAAACGAGGAGTCTATCGCCACTTGCTGTTCAATCGCGGTTCGCCTCCGCGGTACGCCGCGACTAAACCTGGACCCGACGGCTCAAAGGAGAGCCCGGCTGGCGCTGACCATATGACCGAGAATGTAAGCGGCTCGCTGTAGGTGCTGTATTGGTCCTCAAGCATGAACCTGCCAGGCTCGTTGGTCGTTCACCCTGCGCGTGGGTCTCGCTGTTGTCTTCATCGACGCTTGTAAGTTGTACACTCATTGCTCAACATGGCGAGATCGCTGATACGCAGCGTCATGCAGTCATCAGATGGTCTGAACTCAGTGAGCCAAGATGGTGTATGAGTCGTCTCCGGAAGGTCACGTATCTGTAGAGCCTCCTTCGGATTCCCAAGAACCCTGGACGACCGAAGATGCGCACCTATTCGGCCGCGTTCTACTTGGCTGTTTGATAGGTCTGTCCATCTTCTCTCCCCATTGCTCACTTGGATGGCAACTGACTGTATTGTCAGAAACGCTGACCTTCCATGCCGGTATCACTGTATCGTCCTTCATCGTGTTGAGCCTCCTGGACTGGGTTGCCTCTCGAAGAACCGTGAAGGCCGAGCCATCCTCTGTTCGGCAAGCGCTGAGGTAGGCGCGCTCCAAGTGGCGCAACTAGAGCTGACGCGCATTTCAGATACTCTCACATACCCCTTTGCCTCTTATACTCGTCAGCCACGAAGTTCTTCCTCCTGTTCTTGTTAGCGGTATGGGATACATCATCGACCCAGACACCATCAACCGCAATACCACACGCTTATAAGCATACCCTACACTTTGAGAACCCCCTCTTGCTGTCCATATGGAAAGCACTAGATGACGATACACTCGATCGTCGATGGGTGGTGCGGAACGTACTCGGGGGTATGGCCGCCGGTTTCGGGCTAAGAGGCAAGTCCGACAGCCCTCCTACTCCGACTGACATGACATCTCACCACTTGCTCCTCTCGAAGTTGTCCTCGATTGCCACCCTATCTTCACGACTCTGATCATACTTGCGGGCTGGGCGGTGAAGACGGGTGTATCGAGCTTCGTGAGCGGTTTCGTGGGGCAGGATCGCATAGTTGGAGAGGCGTGGTTAGAGTACAGTATACCCTGAGTGCCCGTCGGTCTCGATGCATCTGACCCATGCTTCCATTCTGTATGAGTACTACAGTCTCTGTACATGCGGCGCACAAGTGGTGGCCGTGGTATTGTAGTTTCCGTATATGGCAGCTACAAGGCACGGCGTGGCATGTGGCGCGCGACGCGACTTTGCCCCTTCGTCCCGAACGGTCATCAGCCCGCCACTTGTCTATAATCTGAAACAAAGATGATGTTGCATATGGCACATATCGCGAATACTACAAGCATAAGATGAAACTGCGAAGGTATATACGCTGACGCGTCCACCCGCTTCCACCGCCACACATCAAGAGACCGGATACCGTATAACCAGACACGGCGTCGTCGGCTGCTTCTTGTATCCTAGAACAGCCCCTTCCCCAACTGCTCTCACTCGGCGTTAGGCTGAAGTCATAGGTCAGCGCGGCTTTTAATAAGCGGGTCAATGACTTGACTGACCTGTCCACTCGCAGCTTGCTGAGCTTTGGCCAACTTCAGTTGCTTTTGGTGCACCCGGTTGCACACCTCTACGCCGTTGACCTCGACCTTCGAACAGGCGTCATGCACGGAATGCGCGGAGCACTTATGGCGAGACGAAAATCCACTCGTGGTCTTCTGGCATCCATCTACCCCGCAGACCTTGGGTCTGTTGTACGACCTGTGCTTGTCGTCGATCGTCTTCCGCTTCGCAACCAGCCCGCATGCGCAGACAACTATCTCATCTCGCCCTGTCCCGTTACCCGGAACCCTCGATTGGCGTTTGGTCGTCGCCAGATAGTGCGCCACCTCGTCCTTCGTCGCTTTCCTCGGTTCAATGAACACGCCGTTGAGGCCCCGATGCTCCGATGCCCAGTGCTCCTCCGACTTGAAGACCGGTGTCCGGTTCCCGCGGTTGGGCGAAAGCGGGTCGGACGCGCGTTTCTTGCGAGGCTTGCGGCTCTTCGGGAGCTGTGCGGTGGGCTTGGATGGGGACGGTTGTGGCAACGGCGCGGATGACGAGGCGAGGGCGTTGGGCGATGTCGATGCGGGTGCCAACGGCATGACACTTGCGTGAGGGGAAAACGCTGCGAGAGAGTTGGCGCTCGGGCTGCAGGGGCTAGCCCATGAACCGCAAGCGGAGCTTCCGTCGTCGAAGAAGTCGAAGAAACCGGGCGACCCATTGCTGGAAGACGCAGGGCTGCTGTACGGCTGCCCGTGACCGATTGGAATGTCGATGGGCGAGACGGGATGAGGCCGTGGAGGGAGGGCAAGGTACTGCCCTGCGTCGTCAAGAGAGAAGTTCTCTGGCAAGGGCGTTGTTCTCGAAGCGGGCGTTGTGGTGAAGTTCAAGTCGAGTCCAAGTGCGTCGTTCATCCATCCATTGGACAGGACCGCGCTCTGATGTTGCATGTTTGGTGAAGATACGAGGACGTCCGGAGGGTCCTGCGCAAACTGAGGTGCGTAATCCGTTGCGGGCTAGAAATATCATTCATCGCTGACACGATACCTGGCGGTGAAGAATGCTTACCAGTGCCGAGTGCCATCGTTGTTGCTGCATCACAGATGCGGGTGGCCATGAGTTTAGGACCTGCGGCAGTCAGCTTCCTAGAGAGGAATACGGTAGATGAAGCACACCTGCACAGGCCCGTGGGCGGTAGGAAAGACCCCGCTTTGGTGCGCAAACATGTTTTGCACCCCGACACCGTGCTGATAGGTCATCGTAGAGGCGCCATTCATTTGTGTCCATTGGTCGGCATTGTTGACCCCGTTACCATACGCCTCTAGCTCGAGCGCTCGGGCCATGTTGCCCTGCGCCGGGTACTGGGCGCGCGATGAGCTGCAATGCACCAATCGTGATCAGCCTGGTCATGCTTACCTGGTATCCGGTTGGGATCATGGGCTCCTGGACGTGGTGACCGCCGCCCGGTGCGACATGATGAGACGAAGTGTGCTCGTGCCCAGAGTACGTGTTGGAGTGCTGGTAGGAGTAGGGGTAGGGTGCATATGTGTCGTGCGGGGGGAGAAACGCGCGCTGCGCGCGCTCAGGAGAGCCGGTGTTCTGGTCGTTATTGTCCATGAAGTTCAAGCTCCTGGTGCAGCAGATGTTGGAAGAGCAGGTCAAAGGTGAGCTCTTGAAACTCCCTGGCTTTTGTACGATACCCCCCGTCCGCCTACCCCCAGCTCGCCCTCTCGCTCAACGAGCGCGAGCGTTTTCCCATGGGCGACGATTTAAGCCCGTGCCTGAGGACTTTCCTTATCCGGACGCGCCTCGAGGCTTGACGCGTGTCTGCCTCGTGTTGTCCCGCCCCGTCATCGCCTCGCTTACAAAATATTGCTGACATTTACTCTTCATAGGTCTGAGACACACTGTGCAGAAGATATATCAGAAGGCAGATCATATACATACAGTGTGACCTCTACAAACACCCTGGTGCTTTCTACTCGCGCGCCCCGACTTCCCCAAGCGGCGCTGACATACCTCTTGCTTGTCTAAGGCTTTGAACCCGACATGCATCTCGCAGTGCATAGTGCACTCACGACGAATCCTGGCATATCTACGACCAAATTCCAGCTGGCAGCTCTCAACGCTGCACGCCTTCCGCACAAATCTGTGGTGGCGTTCGCGAATGGTACTCCTCGCCCCAGGCGCGTTGTTGCAAATCCACTCCCGCCAGGCGCCTTCCTCGGAGGTATCAACGCTTCATCTGGATAACGATGTACTGCATCCCAGGCTTCCTCTGTGCGGAGCGTTGGTGGTCGGATGAAGCACGCCCAGCATCCTCCTATGCCTCCGCCCCAGCCTGCTCGCGTTCACGTTTCGCCCACGTTTCGCGACTCTTGGCGCACCTCTTCTTGCTGATGACGGGGTCGCATTCGTCGTGGACGTTGTGACGCTCGCACTTGTGCCGAGCCATCCAGCCCTTGATCTTCTTCCGGCAACTACCTTCGTCACAGACTTTGGGCTCATGGTACTTCATGTGGTCCTCCTTGATGGTCCTCGACGTCGCCACCAGCCCACACGCACACACGAACATTTCGCCCTCCCTCTTGCGCCTTGACGCCTTGACGGTCATGATCTCCTGCTTCGTCGCCACTCGCGGCTCAATCCACTTGCCGCTGTGGTCGAGATGCGCCTCGGCCCACTGCTCCTCCGACCTGAAGACTGGTGTCCGGTTCCCGCGGTTAGGCGACAAAGGGTCGGAGGCGCGCTTTTTGCGAGGCTTGCGATTTTTCGACGGTGGTGCAGTGGATTCTGCGAGCGACGGCTGTGGCCATGATGAGGAGGAAGAGTCGGGCGCGGATGCGTCTGGTGTGGACGCTGGCAAGGGTGTGATGGTTGCGTGCGGGGAGAAAATCGGCGCGGGGTCGAAGTTTGCGACGAACAAGCCCGTCAGCATCCCGTCAGCAGAGCTCCCGTCGTCCGTGAGGTCCAAGGAGAATGCTGATCCGTGATTGGACGATGCAGGGCTGCTGAACATCGATCCAAGCTCGATGGGACTGTCGACTGGCGACGGGGTATTTCGGGACGATGGGACGCCAAGGTACTGCTCCTCATTGCCTACGGGGAAGACGTTCAACAGCGGCGTCGGTCCGTGATTGGGCGTCTTTGTCCGAAGCGTGTTGCCGAAGTTGAAGCTGTTGTCGAATGGTCCTGTGGAAAAGATGTCCGTCGTCTGGTATTGCATATCTGGTGAGACGATGCGCAGTGGTGGGGGGGCTGGGGCGTGCGAGGTGTGTGCAGTCGCAGACTATGCAGCTCGATCAGTGCCGGTCTCTTACGCGCGACAGGCAAAGGACGCTCACCGGCATGTGCCATCTTTGCTCCTGCTGTAAGGGCGTCGGGGGCCAGTAGCCCTGGTGGACGGGCTGAGTCTAAAAGCGGTCTTAGCATTGTATAGTGACGAGGACGAGGGGCTAGGCATACGGTCGCGGGGAGTTGGAGCTGGAAGGCGGGCAGGAGATTGGCGTGGTGCGCAAATGCATGCTGGGCCTCGACCGAGTCGTACTGATAGCCTTGTGCAGATACCCCGCTCAAATTTACCCGTTGACTGGCACCAGAAATATTGCGATTGTATGCCACGGGTGCTTCCACCGGCCGCATGCCACTGTGGGCCGGATACTAGGGCGCGTCTTAGAAACACCGCGTAGAGGGGCAGACTCGGCATGCCTACCTGGAATCCGTTTGGTACCATGGGCTGCAACACATGGGGACCGGGTGCGGGCCAGACCCAGTTCTGGGGATGATGATACACAGGGCCACTGTGTGCGCCAGGATGCTGGGCGGGATAGGGCGAATACGCGCCAGGCGGGGGAGTACGCGCGCGCGCACGGACAAAAGAGCCGGTGTTCTGGTTGTTGTTGCTCATGAAGTTCAAGCTCCTGGTGCAGCAGATGTTGGAAGAGCAGGTCAAAGGTGAGTTCTCAAAACTCCCTGGCTTTTGTACGATGCCCCCCGACCACCCACCCAAGCTCGCCCTCTCGCTCAGCGAGCGCGAGCGTTTTCCCATGGGCGACGATTTAAGCCCGTGCCTGAGGACTTTCCTAATCTGGACGCGCCTCGAGGCGTGACGCGTGTTTGCCTCGTGTTGTCCCGCCCCGTCATCGCCTTGCTTGAGAAATATTCCTGACAAGACTTCGTAGGTCGCTGGGAGTCGAATGTATCTTCAAATGGAAACGCACAAAGCGACTGTATAAGCGCAACGAACAATTGTCCGCTGCGATCCGAATATGGAGAAAGTACCGTCGGATACAGTGAGTACATATGGATATCGACATGTCTACAGTACTGAACCCAGCGTCTCAGTGCTCCCTCCCTCCGCCTCTTGAGCCCATCTGGCGACCCGAGTTCTCCTCGATCTTTCTCTTTTTCTTGGCATTCTTCTTCTCAATCTTCATCTTATGCTGGGCACGCAAATGGCGAAGGAGTGCGTCGAGTCGCGAGAATGGCTTCCCACATCCCTCCACGGTGCAGAACTCGACCTCCCTGTAACTCCTGTGGCGCTCCTGGATGGTTCTCCAATCTACCGCCTTCATGGGGTCGCGCATACAAGCACATTGCCACTTGTTATTGCCCACGGATGTCGGAGGGATCAGTTCGCCGTCCGCATCCAGATGCGCGGCCTCCCACTCCGCTTTAGACTTGAACCCGGGCGGACGATCGCCCGACTTGTGCGGCTCGCCCGTGCCCTTTCGAGGAGCGCGTTTCTTTCGTGCTGGGCCAGCGTCCGCTTCCTCTACGCGCTTGCGCTTGGAAGACCTCTTGCGTGATGGTGGTGGTGGTGGTGTTGATGGAAGCCTGGATGGGCCACCTACGGGCGAGAATGCCGGCGCGGCCGTCGCCGTTTGCTGGGAAAAGCTCAGGCTGGACGTGCCGTCCGTACTACGGGTCCAATCGTACGTTATGCTCCTCGCCTCATCTGCTGGCAAGGAGTACGCCGACTCGTGGACGGATCGAGTCGGGCTCGAGAGCGCCGGTGTTGCATACGGCGATGAGGCAGCGAGGAGGTGCTCGGAGGAGGAGTAGGGAGGAGGGGTATCACCAGGAAGCGGGGAAGTCTCAAGTAAGGGCGCGTGTGGGGTAGGGAAGTTAAAGGTGCGTGCGTCGTCGCCTTGCTGGGTGAACTGCAGCCCATGCTCATATTGCGTGTCTGGGCCAGACACCTCGACGACCGGCGGCGGAGGCGGCAACTGCACTCCTGTTGCATGAACGTTCGCTGTCTTTGAAGGTCGTCAGTCGCGGTTCTGAGCTTGGAATATCGCTGGAGCATACCATCTGCCGTGCTTGAGTCCGAGTCTGTACCCCAAGCTCGCGAAGGATTTCATCCAAGAAGTCGTAGTCCCAGCTCTGGCCGTCGGGGAGAGTCTACCGTCATGAGCAAGCGTTCATGTATCAGCGAGACGTCGACGACTTACGTCTGGAATGAGCGAGTTGGATGGATTGGCCTCCGGGAGAAATGGCAGGTGCGCAAACGGATCTTGTGGTCCGGCATCGTACTGAGTCGCTACGACAGGTTCATACAATTCAGGCTGCGTCATCCATCCGGGGTTCACATTCGTTCCCTGGTCCCAGCCCAGGTTGCCATTCATCGCGCCCGGATCGGCCAAGTCCGGGAGATTCTACGGCGCGCACTGAGCTACATCGCGGACAGTAACGAACTCGACACGCTCACCTGGAAGCCGTTTTGGGGTGGAGGCTGAAACGCCAAGTGTTCGGGGAACGGTACCGCAGGTGGCTGGGCGTGTGCGTGCTGGAGCTGGGTGCCGGGGTACTGGGTGGTAGAGGAGGCATACGCGCCGCGCTCCCGCGCGTGCGAGTGCGAGGACGGGATGAAGCCGGACGTCTGGTTATTGTTCACAAGGCTTGTCGCGGCTCCGCCGCGGGGAAGTTTATCGGTTGATAGTTAAATTGCACAGTGTGTAAGCTACAATAGGATATCAGGATATGTGATGTTCTCCCCTTCATTCATCCGACATGGCGAAAAAGACAGAGGGGGGCGGTTGAGACAGAGGGGCGGGGCACGATATAAGAAGAGCGGGCGAGAAGTGATGAATTAAGTGAATACTAGACCATAAATAGCTAGTTAGTCAGGTGTAGTTTGGGCATAGCAATAGCTCGTAACGAAAGGGACATCAACAATAGAGAATCGCGCTCATAAAGGGAATACAGCGATCAGCAGACAGGGGGAGCAAAACGACGGGCGACGGGCGGCATGGGCGGAGATCACGCGCGGGAAGGACTCAAATTTGCGCGCGGAGGAGCCCGATCATCGAGTGGCAACAAAGCAGGAGTGCAAACCCGGTATGCAGTAGAAGAGGGACAGATGGCGGTTGGGAGAACGAAGGGGACTGTGAAACGGAGCGGTATGAAGACCGCGGGAAGGCGACGCATGCAGTATGGGGGCAGTTGTCGTCCACAGTGAAAGCAAACGACGTGAGGTTGATCTATAACCTGATGGATTCAGAACGACGCGTACGAACGCAGAAGAAAGGACATGCCTAGGTGATGAAGTATGAAGGCGAATATGAGTGGGAGTGGCGAGGCCATCAAGAGGAGGTCTTGGAGATGTAGTGCATGATGTACGAAGAGCAGGAGAAGCCGCAGAGTATGTGGCCGCAGTAAACGAAAGGTTGACGAATCAAACGGGGAGGAGGGGAAGAACAGCGCAGATGAGTAGGTGAAGGTGAGGCCATGGACCAGGACGGCGGGGAAGTGAAGACAGGAAGGAAGACACCATGGAGGTTGGAGAGGCGAGAAGGGGACAAAGCGACAGCGTGAGGAGCTAAGGCAAAACGGGAAGGAAGATACAGCACGAAATCGGAAAGAAGGGACGAAGGGTATCGTGTACGGCCGGAAAAGGAGATGGACGACATGGACGAGAAAGGAAGGAACGAACATGCGCGCCCATAAAAGGGTGAATTACAGCCATAACGGGAAATAACAAATACAGACAAACAAAAGCCGGGGCTATCGATAATGTTCTTTTGATTGAAGTTCAAGTTCCCGGTGCAGTCGATGGTTGTAGAACGGGTTCAAGGTGCGCTCTCAAATCCTCCCCCAGCTTTTGTCCACCACCACCCTGCCACCCGTCTCTGCACGATTTCGCGCCTGGCGAGGACGAGCGCTTTCCCATGGGCGACGCTTAAAGCCCGTGCCTGGCGGTTTTCCTTTCTAGGTTAGCCGCCTCGAGGCGCGCCTCGTGCTTAACCCTAACCCCACCGCGTCTGAGGTCATTGAAGATGATGTTAATGATGGTATTCATTATAGGGTTATATGCTACGCCTAAGGGATCAAGGGTATACGTGTACGAACTGAAATAGAGATGACGAAACGAGACCGTATCCATCAAGACCGATCCTCCTCCGCTAGTACTCCCGAGCCACCCTTCTCCGCGCACCTGGTATACTGGACGGCCGCGCAATAGCCTTAGGACATCTACCAATTCCCGGTTTACACTCAACGTGGACACCGTGCATCAAGCACTCGTGCCGCACCCTAGCATCCCTCCGCGCGAAACTGACGCCACAACCCGCCCTGTCACATAGATACCGCTCCTTGAAAGATCCGTGCCGTTCTCGGATGCCCGCCGCGGATTTCATCTTCGTACCGCACGCGCACCTCCATTTGCCATCGGAGCATTTATTTGGAGGGATGAATACTCCGTACGCGTCGAGGTGGGCGGCTGCCCATGCTTCTCGTGTTGGGAAGCGCGGTGTGCGGTAACCGAAGTTCGGTGAGCGAGGCGGGGTTACAGGTTTGGAGAGAGTGGTTTGGGAGGTCGTGCTGGGTGGTGGAGAGGGCTTGGAAGGGCCGGCGCCGGCGAGCGTTGGGAGCGGCAGCATCATCGGGTTCGGCGAAGGCGGTAAACCCGACGGCGCAATGGGCGGAGAGAAGCCCTCAAACGCCGGCTCGCTCATGTCCATCGTGCTGTACGCCGAGAGCTCGCTGCTCGTGATGGAGTCATACGACATTTGGCTACCCAATGTTGAACTCTGACTGGGCGCGGACACCGATGGAAGGAGCGGCGGTGTGGCAAGACTTCGGCGAGGACTGCTGGACGGAGTGGCCGTCAATCCGAGCTCGCTGAACGAGCCTAGCATGTCATAGGTGAGCGCGTCTTGTGATGGTGTCGGTGCCATGCTATGGTTTGGCTGACATCGAGGGTACAGGTCCGAGTACTGCGTGTCCCGTGCAAGCCATTCGGAGGTATGCATGACAAGCTGGCGACTCCATTCGGCGTCAGGTCCAAGGCAGTCGTTGTACGTGCTTGGCCCTGCCCAGTCCTCCATGAACGGTACTTGACTAGGTAAGAACATAGCATCGAAGTCCATCCCGGTTGTACCGACGGGACTCTGTACAGGCTGAGGTTATCTATCTTGCTCTCATCCTTGCATGAGTCAAGACAGAGGAGCTCACCCGTAGGGATTGTTCGGCAAGAGGAGGCTGGTGTACGGTTCGGTGCGTAAACGGACTCTGTGTCGTGGAATTGCGCTGAAGTGGGCTGGTAGATCCGTTATATGACTCCACCAACTGGCCCGCACCCATCGCATTGAGTGGCGAGCGTGAGCTGTGGACCCATCCGTCAAGCACGGAGTTGACATCGAAGGACGGCGTGCGAGGGATCGTGGCATCTTGACTATGGACTTGCGCATGGGCGCGACGGCTGGATGCACTAGAGTGCTGGGAGGAGGAGGAGGGACGAATGGAACGCGGGGTACGCTCGCGCGAGCTCGAGCTGCGAAAGTGATCGTTCGAGTTCACGAGACTGCCGTCCATGCGCTTGAGCAATTGTCGAGTGGCAAACGCATACTCCCAATCGGCAACACACCCTCTTAAAGTCTTCTCGCCACCACCACCCACCACCCTCTCGCCACGCCCAGCAGCGAGCAGGCGCTCTTTCGCACCCCTCGACACTTGCTTAATCGGGCAATCGTGCCTGCCGAACTTCCCTTTTCGGACGCGGCACTTGCCGGGATCACTTCGGCCACGTTTTGTCGCGCCTTCGGTCATCGCCTGCGTTCGACGCGACGTTCGAGGGAAGGCGCATTGACTCTGCCCTGTACGATGAGGCGGTCCTGCGTGCGATTTGGAGGAGCATGGACGGGGCCCGGGAGCGCCGGCGTTACAAGGTGCTCGGTCGCCTCGGATGCGTCAGGGCTTACTGGCGTTATTGTCTGCTGCGTTATTTGGACTTTTGGAGCTCAACGGTGTCCAAAGGAGATCTGCATCGTCGATCCCGCTATGCAAACGAATGCACAAACATCACATGTCACTGTAGGGATGCGCCGAGTACGCGCAGGGACAGTGTGCGCATACTGTATCTCAGACCCGCGTCGCGTGAGGATCTAGTGGCCGCGCAATAGCCTCAGCATACTCTGACAAGGAATAACGCTTGCATCCCATTCCTCTTCAGCATTCTTCGTATGTGGGAGAACGGCGCGGTAGAGGAGACGCGATGTCGTGGTTCTGGGGGATCATAGACTCAACTATGATAACTGACATGCGTATTGAGATATGTAAGACAGTACTTCTACAAGTTAATCAAGTCAAGCTACTCGTATGAAAGATTGGCTTGAACGAAACAATGTTCAGAATGCGCGGACATTGGCAGCCGTGCACTGACGCGGCTGAAGCGAGGCTCATACTAGCCTGTGAGGTTTTACGAGACGATCGGACGTATAGAGCCCGTTTCACATCGGATTAAGATATGCTCGTCGTGTGCCGACTCAGTTCTCCGGTAGTCTCGGAGAGGCGGTCGTTCGAGAACGCGCCCTGCAATCGGTGCGCACCGCCTCCGCGTCTGAAAAACGCGCGTGACCGCGTCTTCTCGCGTTCACTGGCAGGCACGCCCGCCACTCGTCGTGCACCCACCACTTGTCGCTTGCACTCGACTCTGCACTCTCTACTGTGCCACAGCTCTATCCAAAGCTCTGCCAGTGCAAAATTGCTCTAAATGGCCCCAAAAGAACCGACCCGCGCACAGCTCTCCTCGCGCCTAACCTACACCTCCGGCCAACAACCCGCCTTCCTGCGCCGTCTACAGAACAAGATTGCCGGCACAGCCGACTCGGAAGACGAGTTCGAAGGAGAATACGAAGATGATGGGTCGGGCCGACCGCCGATTCCGCGGCGACCGGCTATTCCTGAACGGCCGGAGGGGGATGAGGGGAGTGAGGATGAGGATGGGAGGGACGAGGCGCCGCAGATTGTTGTGCTTAGGGAGGGGAAACATTTGAGTGGGTGGGAGGTTGAGAATGAGAAGAGGAAGGGTAAGGTATATTATAAAACCCTATGTTGTATGATCGCTCATAATGATCATAGCCAAGGGTCTCCCGCCTCTACCTCGACCCTCCTCTCCCTCGGCCGACGCCGACGCCGACAAACCCGAACCATCGACAACTGAACCTCCGCCAAAGAAAGAACGCGAGAAGAAAGGCTTGAACTTCTCAACTTCTGGTGCTGCGCCGAACAAGTCCAAGAAGCGGAAGGTTGTGCCGGTCGGCGGGGAGGACGAGTTAGATGCTGCGATTGAGAGGAAGGTGGGGAAGAAGAAGAAGAAGGCGAAGGTTGGGTTGAGTTTTGCGGATGATGCGGCGTAGCGTAGGACGGAGACTCCGAGGAGGATCATCTGAACTTCACGAGCTTTGGGCTCGCGCTCTGCTGGTAAGGTACTCTAGTCTCATCGCTAAGAGCACGTCGCTCATTGGTGATTCAGCCGTTTGTTGGCGCTTGGTTGGCGCATCGACATGTTGAGCCATTGTCGTTCAGTACGGGGTCCCAAACCCCCGCTTAGGTACCTTCGCGCGAAACGAACATCGAGAACGTCGGCGCGTCTTTGATCGCGCACTTGACGTCGATCCGTTCATCATCGAAGAGCATGCCATGCTCTATCAAGCCCTACCCATACCGAATGTAGTAGTATACCTACTAGAGTAGAGCGACGTGGATCATATGAAAGTCAATCATGACGTAGAGTAGCATCTATATCTATACAATGCATATTCCCACCGCGTCGAACGCTCGCAACGTTTGATCGGCCACCACCATGTCCCGCGCCTCCGCCTCCTCCGCCAAAGCGCTCCAAGCGATCCTTCCCCTAGTAGAATCAGGCCAGCCGTACGAAGCGCACCAGAAAGCGCGCACCTTCGCCTCTCGATACCAGAAATCGAACCAGTTCGACACGGCGATTGATGTGCTGTTCCAGTCTGCGCGCGAGTTACTCAAAGTAGGGCAGAAGGGGAGCGGGACGGATTTGGCGCTGTTTTTGTTGGATGTTTATGAGCGGAAGCCGGAGAAGGTTACTGAGGAGAGTAGAGGTGCGTTTGGTGTGTTGGATGAATGTGGAATTGGGCATTGATGGATGGGGTTGTAGGGAGGATCACGCAGCTTATTGCGCTTGTGGGCAGCGAGCAGACGTGGAGGAAGAGCATAATCGACAAGGCTGTCGCGTGCGTGGCTCAGCGAAGTATACCGTCAAAGTGCATGCTGAACGTATGGGCAGATGGTCGATCAAACACGGCGCGCACCCCGCAGGCGATCCGGCTCTACACCATTACATCGGCGAAGTTCTGTACAAGGGTACGCGCCATATACCGTCCATTCGAGCATTACACTGAAATGGACCTAGACGGAGCACTGGACACGGCCGAAGTGCACTTCCTCAACTCTGGCTCTCGCGATAGCGCACGTGCTCTGGCCCGGCTGTATGTCGACTGGGCGAAGCAAACAGAGACGTTGGCCGAGGCGGCCGAGACGTTTGCTCTGCGCGGTACCTTACCGTACACATTTCCCACACGTACATTCAGGATAGGCTTTAATGTCTTCACAGGTACCTAACGAACGGCAACATCCTCGCAGCCCGCGCCTTCATCTCGACCTACATCTCCCTTCTCCCGCTCGACCAGCCACCCTTCGCATCGACCACGACCCAATCCACACCCTTGACGATCACAGCCAAAGGCGAATCGTCTGGCGAAGACGATGTGGTGCTCACTGGTCTGAGCGTGTTGAACTTCGCTCAACTCGCGGTGCGCGTATGTCAGCGTGCGGAGGGAGATAGGAATAAGACTATGCGCGAGACTTGGGTCAGGCTTTGTGGGACGTATCAGAGTCGAGGAGGGTTGTTGGCGTCTAAGGAAGTTCGCGCCGTACGTTCTAACACAACCTTCCTCGTGTATATGCTGACTGGGTGGATCTAGGTTCTGAACGAGCTCGCGACGGCATACTTCAACATCCCGCCTCCACGACAACAGAACGCGAACCCGCTGGGCGACATGCTCGCCGGTATGTTCGGCGGTGCACCCGGTGCGGCCGCACCGCAGAGGAGGGCGATCACGCCGAATGCTGGTATGGGCTTGGACTGACGGAACTCTGGTAACTCTTTGTATGGCGCTTTGGCCAGGTCTGTAAGCTGCATCGATGGGTATATTGTGGAATCAAATGCTGTATCAGTACGCTTGGATCTACCACAGGGCCGACAGACGCAGCAGATAGGCGCCCGTCGGCGTTTAGGCTGACGAAGGCGTCGGGTTTAACTGGGCTATTTGCTGACTTGATGCTGACCAGTCCTGCCGAAGTCCTACTGTCCCATTCGAGTCAACGCCGAATGACCAAAAGGGGCAAGAGATACGATGAGGGTACTGTGCAGTACGGTGTTAAGGTCTCATATGGCTTGTCGTACGTACGTCGATGCCTTCTCTCGAATCTCCGGACGTCTTGTGGATAGGCCGTGCGCCTTTCAGCGGGAACGCCGCCGCTTTTGACACTAGTGCGAGGACGTATTATTGCTTTATGACGATCTACGCTCAACGTGTACATTCTTCTCTTCTCACTATATATCAGTCGGTACCCAGGGCACTGCAGCACTACAAGCTCTTTCTCCCTCTCATCTCATCTCACAGCTCATCAAACAACATGGCCAACACCACCGCTTCAGAGAAGATCAACCCCTTCGCTCCTGCTCCTCCACCCCCAACGGCCTTGGGCCGCTACAGGGTCCTCTCACCGAAGGCGGGCGTGCGCGTCTCTCCGCTCTGCCTCGGCGCCATGTCGATCGGCGACCAGTGGGGCGATTATGGGTTCGGGGCTATGGACAAGGAGTCGAGCTTCAAGCTCCTGGACGCGTACTTTGAGGCGGGCGGGAACTTCATCGATACTGCGAACAGCTAGTATGTTTGCGTTCTTTGGGATGGACCGAGAGCATGTTCTGATGGTGTGCGTAGCCAGCAGGAGACGAGCGAGATGTTCATCGGAGAGTGGATGGAGAAGAGGGGCGTTAGGGACCAGATGGTCATCGCCACCAAGGTACATGCATTTTCCCCTCCTCTTCTCCTCTAGTGCATTGCTGACTTGTCTTTTGCTGCAGTATTCTATCCAGTACAAGAAGACCGATCCCTCCGTGGCCATCAAGATCAACTACGGCGGGAACAACGTCAAGAGCATGCATGTTTCTGTCGAGGACAGTCTCAAGAAGCTGCGCACGAGCTACATCGACATCCTATACGTGCACGTCTGGGAATGGGGAACCGGGTAAGCACACTGTCGACCCCTCTAGTCCTCCATAGATCATGGGCTGATGCCGCTTACAGCACCGAAGAAGTGATGAACTCCCTTCACAACCTCGTAGCCTCCGGCAAAGTTCTCTACCTCGGCGTCTCCGACACGCCCGCCTGGATCGTCTCCATGTGCAACCAATACGCGCACGACCACGGCAAGACGCCCTTCTCGATCTACCAGGGCCGGTGGAACGTCCTCCTGCGCGACTTTGAGCGCGAGATCTTGCCGATGGCGCGGAACCAGGGGATGGCGCTTGCGCCGTGGGACGTGTTGGTGAGCGGGAAGATTAGGACGGATCAGGAGGAGGAGGAGAGGAAGGCGAGTGGGGAGGGGGGACGGGCTGTGCTTGGGCAGGACTGGCTTAGGAATGAGAATGAGAAGAAGATGTGTGCGGTGCTTGAGACGATTGCCAAGGAGGTTGGGGCGAATAGCATTCGGGCTGGTTCGTGTCCTGCCCTCCTTGATCCCGGCAACTGAATGCTGACCGGTTGAATCGCACAGTTGCCATCGCGTACGTCATGCAAAAGACGCCCTACGTCTTCCCCATCATCGGAGGCCGCAAGGTCGAGCATCTTCGCTCGAACATCGGCGCGCTTGAAGTCGCGCTTACACCCGAGCACATCAAGACGATCGAGAGCGTCGTACCATTCGATGTCGGGTTCCCGAACAACATGGTGGTAAGTCTGATCCCTTGCTTTTGGCGGAAGAGGTTTATTGATCATTGTCCTGTCTCTAGGGAGCGGACGACGACGAGCAAGACAACTGGTTCGTTAAGATGGGCGGCCAGCCGGATAGGTGGCCGCTCAGGCAGGCGATTCGGCCGTCAAAGTCGGCCTGAGGGTGGTTGCGAATATGGATATCCATCACAACTACATGACCTGCAGTAGTGTTTGCGGCGCAAAACGACCGTATATGTGTTGATTACGACCGTGTGACGATATGGGCGCATCAACCGCAATGCCACGTGTTCCGGCCGTTCGCTTTGGGCAGCCTGAACGAAGAGAGCAACTTGCTTTTTCCCATAATGTCGCTCATGCCAATCCCAAATCTACTTGAACATCTAAACCAACATTGAAGTGTTTGCGTGGCACAGCCAGACAAGACTATTGAAGTACATGAACTATCAGTGGCCGAGCCGATGCATGGAAGATCCTGAACGCGGGGCTACTACGACGCGGTTGTACTGCACACCCTGTTCATCCCGTATGATAGGCTTCCCGTCCACCTAACGATCCATGGCAAAATGACTAACGTCGTACTGCGTCTATCCGTTCACAAGCAGCTCCCTCAAGGCCCGCATTTCATCTATTACGACCCACGTCGCACGGGGAAATGCGGTCGCGTATACGCGCCCTGGCTTCCCGACTGTGGCGTAGTCGTAGAGCACTACACTGCTCTCCTTGCATAAGCGGTATAGCGTGCGGCAGCGGAACATTGCTACACCTGTTATCTACGCCCGTTAGGCGCGCAACTTCAATAACATTTTACAATGGACGCCAGTCAGCAGTAGGGTCGAAAGTCGTCAGTGGGGCTATGCGTTCAGCTGATTGTAAGTTCACTACATGCCTCTTGGACAACTCTCTGATATAGTCATCTCAGAAATCTCTACAAAGGAACCATGATATCTCGAACTTCTCCTCTCGATCCCTCCTATGCGCCCACATCTGTGACGACCGACAGACTGTCCGGACAACTGGTCGAGCCAATGCCCCATAGGGGTATCGTCTAGTGAGTCAGCAGAGCCGCTTCTCAATGCTCGCAACGGGCAAGGCGCGTACACTCAACGCTCGTTACTCCCAGCTGACACAGTACATCAGTTGGCTATCCGCTTGGATCATGCATAGCGCCAGTGTATACCGGCAACGCAGTGGCGTCATGGTGTTCTGCGCATATACACATGCCCAGCGGAAGGTAAACGGAACCTTGAAGTGCGGGACAAGACTTCTGGATAACAGCCTTGTCGAAAGAGGTCGATCCATACCGGCCGCATAGTCTACTATGGACAGAGAGGGAGTATCCGACGGCTCTCAGCCCTGTATATGAAGTGCTCGCCTGCTGGGTATGAATGTGCATCCACTTGTAAGGATACGGATCTGACCTTTCGTAACCACTCGTAGCTTGATCTTGATTATGGGCCTTGCCTACCCTGTTCGTTCACGGTCGTCTGAGTGCGTACGCGCGCAGGCTGCCAAAGCCATCGTAGCGGACACAATCAGAAGACTACGCGCCAGTCTTCCCACAAGCGGAGAGCCTGGTCGTCAACTGCCCGCCAATGACTTTCCGGCCCCAGCGCGTCCTGGCTCACTTTCAACCCCGACGCGCCCCATCTGCATCGTTGGCGCTGGCTGCGCTGGGCTCTATGCCGCGATGATTCTTGATACTCTTGGTATTGACTACGTGATTCTGGAAGCCAATGAACGTGTCGGGGGACGCATCTACACTCATCGTTTCAACGACGATCCGATTGAAGGCATCAACGCGAACATCGGTGACCCAGCCCGCTATGACTACGTTGACATCGGCGCGATGCGTTTTCCCAATATCGGCTTCATGAAGCGTGTCTTCGACCTCTTCGATACACTCGACCTTCGGAAGGATGGGCTGCTTATCGAATATAAGTACTCGTCTCCCAACACATACCTACACTATAACGGCCGGCGTCGTCATACCGCTGACATAGTTCCACAACTTAACGGCCAGTACGACGACTTCTTCAGCGTCTCTAGCGAGAATGGAGGGGCCGTGCCCGGCAACTATGTTGCTCAGGGCGTGGACCGAGTTTTGGGCGACGTCTTCAGACCGTATGCAGACCTGTTTAACGACCCAAACACCACCTTTCAAGAGGCGTGGGCCCACCTTCAACAGGAGGGCCCTTACTCCACGCGCGCGCACATGCTCGGCAGAGCGAGCCCAACGCTTCCCGAGGCGGTCATCCAATGGCTGGAAACGTTCTCCTCTGCTACCGGGCTCTACAACAACGCCTTCGTTGAGAGCGCAATGGACGCGATCGATTTTGGGAGCGTCACTGCTGCGCCTCAGAGTGCTGGCGGTCTACCGAAGGAGGAAGTCAACTACGCCTGGTACTGCATTGACGGAGGCTCCGACCACATCATTCGTAGAATGGTTGACGGCATCTCTACCACGCCGCTCACCAAACACCGAGTTACCAAGATCAAGAGCACAGAGGACGGTACGATGCAAGTGACCTATCTCAACCCAGGCACGTTTCTTCGTACCCATCTACATCTGAATGACAGCTGATTGTCTTTGCAGGTGGTATGACATTGCAGGAGGAGCTTTCACAGGTCATATGTACCGTGCCTCTCGGTTGTCTCGCAGACATTGAGATCCCAGTGGGCGACATCTCGTACCTGCAGCGCATGGCCATTCGCTCGCTCAACTACGACACCTCGACCAAGATTGCGCTGAAGTTCCGGACACGCTGGTGGGAGGATCCCGCCGTCATGGGTGAACGCACGATCGAGGGTGGTGTATCTTCCAGCGATATCCCCATTCGCACCTGCGTCTACCCGTCCTACGGCTTTACAGCGACAGGCACCGTCACAGGCGTCATGCTTGCGAGTTACACCTGGGCACAGGACGCTCAGCGTCTGGGCGGTCTCTCGCAGGGCAAGGGATCGGAGGCGGACCGGCTTCTCATCGACCTCACCCTGAGGAACTTATCGCAGTTGCACGGCATACCGATCGAGAAGTTCGGACCGCTCCTCGACTACTACACGTACAATTGGCATGATGACGAGAACGCGCGCGGCGCGTTTGCGCTCTTCGGACCAGGGCAGTTCAGCCATCATGATCCCGGGAGTAGCTTGTTCGCTAGCATCAAGGCTCCTGCCGCAGGTGGGAAGTTGCATATAGCAGGCGAGGTACGTGTTCGATGCAGCGTATTACAGCAAAGAACTTGGCGTGACATTCGGATAGGCGACATCGGTTCATCACGCTTGGGTACTTGGCTCCCTCAACTCGGCTTGGAGGGCCGTGTACAACGCCCTGGGGAGACGTGAGAATGCGGAGCAGTTGAGAGAGGAAATGCGGGCGAAGTGGGACGTGCCAGAGGAGGAGAACCCTGACGATCTGTTGAAGTTGGCCTTGCTGTCCTACCACGGTTGCCTGTGAGAAGTGCACGTATCAGTTGTGAGTACGTGCGCCCTTGATTGTGTGTTCCATAGCTCAGCTGAACCCAAACCGCAGGAAGGACGCAGCAGAAGGGCTCGAAATGAACCAAGGACCGGTTTTTGTATATGTAACAGAGTTTGCCAGTGAATGGAATGGTCGCCCGGCGCAGACGGTCACGATATCTGATGGTAGCTAGCAGTCGAATGGTCTTGATGTCTTTGTACCCTGTGTGTATGTGTATGACAAGTGTATGAAGTCTGATTACCTGAGCACTATCCATCCTTGATTTGGCCCTTCGGTGGCGCCAGGCCGTGTAGTAACGCTCGCCGGCTCGAACCCCTTCCTCAACGCGTAACCACATTTCGCACCGTCTCTAGCATCGATGATCATACGGTTGAAAAGAAGATAGTATATAGGGACTACCATAAGAGTCTGAAGGACGAAGCTCAAGGCAAGGATCAGGGTAAAGTATCTCGGCCACTCGTGGGAAAACGTGCGGGCGAGCCGGTCCGTTCGCGTCCCGTTGTCCGCGTTGTATCCCAACCACCGTCTACCACCTCGCTCTAACCTCCTCTTCTCGAGAGCTCCATCATGGCGGACGGTGCAGTGAGCTACGACTCTGACTCTATAATTTGCTTTGTCTGACTGAGTGATAGATCAACGAAAGAGATATCTTCGGCGAGGATTCGGACCTGTCCGACCTCGAAGGTAATTGTTGCGCCACCGCTTGCCAAATAACTCATACTCAATATTTCCAGGTGCCCCCGGACAGCGTGCCGTAGCTGAATCATCCGGCGAAGACTCTGGCGAGGATTATGTCCAAGAGAAAGAACCGTCATCAACGAAGAAGCGTAAACGGAGGAGGCGTGACGCGGCCGAGGGCGAAGGGGAGGAAGGCGGAGGTGGCGGCAGGCGTCGTCGGGCGACACAGAAGAAGGCGCCGAAGAAAGCCGGACCGACGGAGGAGGAGCTCGCCGCTATGACACCCGAAGAACGTACGACGTTCTCCCCACCATTCACCAGTCCAGATCGCTTATATTACTTTTGCAGGGAACAAGTTGAAGCTTGACGCGGAGATTGATGCCCTCATCAAGGTCAAGCGTACCAACCGGCCGAAGAAGCGGAAAAAGAACGAGGAAGATGTGTTGGACCAGTTTGCGGACGAGGAAGTGTCGAGGTTGAGGGAGATGATGCTTGCGGCTGCGGACGACGATATTGAAGCGAACAGGCGCAAGGCGCCGGCGGCTTCCAAATTACGACTGTTGCCGCAGGTTATGGAGGTCTTACGCAAGTATGTCGTTCATACCTCGTTATACCACGTTCGTTTGCTAAACATATATACCAGAAACGCTCTTTGGGAGTCTATCGTGGATAACAACTTGATGGAAGCCGTCCGGCGCTGGCTCGAGCCACTGCCCGACAAGTCCCTCCCGGCGCTAAACATTCAAAAGGACTTTATGGAAGTTCTCCCCACGCTCGACATCACGACCCAAATCCTGCGCGAATCCCAACTCGGGCGCATCATTCTCTTCTATACCAAATGCAAGCGCGTCACCCCGGACGTCAAACGCGTGGCCGAGCGCCTAATGGAAGCATGGACGCGTCCCATCGTCAAGCGCTCGGCGTCGTACCGCGACCGTGCGATCCCCGTGGCCGTGGCGCCGCAGGTCAGGGAGCGCGAGAAGTTGGGTGCCATTCTTGCGAGGGGCAAGGAGGAGCCGAGGAGGACGCGGCCGAACGCGGTGGCCATCCCGCAGAGGGAGATGGGCACTTATACTGTTGCGCCACAGAGCGGATTCGTCAAGAACAACAATATGAGCGTGGATCTGGACAGCGAGCGGAGGAAGAGGAACGCGGAGCGTATGAGGAATTTGACCAAGAGGGTGCAGGGTTCTCAGCGTGGTTGAAGTCTGCGCCCTTTCTGGTTCTTAGGTTCTCTCGCCTTGTATATTCTATTGTAGATACTTTGTACTGCTCACTTTCGAATCTGAGCGTGCCTATTCGATGTTGTGATGACGCGTTGAAGGTCCCGCGGCAGTTGCTCTCAACTTATTAGGGTTGCTTCAGGCCATCAACACGCGCCTATCCTCGTACTCCACGAAGCTGTCCAAACACTGCTACGTTTCCCCCCGAGCCCTCATGTTACTTCTTGCGTTCCTGATCCCGAGTGTAAGGGGGTAGAATACCCTGACATCGTTCCGCCCTCACTGTCTCACGCACGCCGTACCCGACGATGACGGTGGCGAGCGTCAATCATTTCCAACCGCCATGTTCTCCTGGGACTGGCCAGATGCCAACGACAGGACGCTCCTGAGATTCATCGACACGCTACCTCTATTACTGTTATGCTATGCCCACGCTATACTTGTTGTAATACCCGCCCCTCGTCTCGTCCGAGCTGCACTGCTCCCCTTTACGCTATACTATGCGTGGTACGGAGGGACGCACTACGATTTCGCGCGAACTCTGGCGTGGCCACTCGGAAAAATAGGCTATGAGCCTGAACGACTAAATTATCTGAACTTCATGTTCGCCGTGCGCCACACTCTTTGCATTCTCTCAGTTTGATCTGATCTCTCGTTCGCAGATTATTTGCATCGGTCTCGCTTGTAGATCAATGGAATGGACGATTACTCCAGGCCCCTACCGCCGCTACGATAGGCCAATAGGCGACGCGCCACCCGTTGAACACCCCCTTACACCGCGATACGTCCTCTCGGACGCCTTTGAGCTCTGCATGAACCTCCGCGGCATCGGCTGGTCCTTCACGCGCAATAAGCTCCCTACACCTGTATCGCCACCCCTACACAAACTCATCCTACTACTGGACTACCACTGGATCACAGTCGACTTCGGCTTATACGCTTGCCAACGTCTACAACCTTCGATGAACCTTCCCTCCGGCGCAAGCATCTTCGACCCTGCGCGTCCACCACTCGAACGCGTACTCGTAGGGTGCACACACACAGCCATCTCCGGCCTCATCATCTTCCGCGGGATCCAAGTTATGTGCGAAGTCGGCGCGCTCATATCGCGTCTGTTCATGGGACTGGAGGACTGGCAATGGCCCCGCCTATTCGACTCGCCGTGGCGCGCGACGTCCATTGCGGATTTCTGGGCGAGATGGCATCAGCTTTTCCGGCGGTTCTTCGTCGTGATCGGTGCGCGCCCCGTCGGAAGGGTCGGCCGTTTCATCGCAGGAAAGACCGGAGAGCGCGTTTTGGGCGTTATGGGCGCGTTCGGGATCTCTGCGCTGTTGCATGCCCTGGGGACGTGGGCGATGGGCCACGGATACGAGTTCTGGCCTATGGGCGGGTTCTTCGTTATGCAGGGTGTCGGTGCGGTGCTTGAGGGTGCCAGCCCGGTAAAGCCGAAAGGTGTGGCGGGTTGGGTGTGGACGATGGCGTGGACGGTTGGATGGGGGACGCAGATGGTTGATGCGTGGGCTAGGAGAGGGTTGTTTGCGAGTGATTTCGTGCCGGGGTGGGCAAGGCCTAGTGTATGGGTAGTAGAGAGGTTGCCCGCGTATGTTGTAGAACTCTGGAGGATGTGATATGTCGTAGACATTACCGAAAGGCAGCACCGGTACCGTCCCATGAGATATCTCTGGGCGTGGTGAACGCATGTACGAGAGTCAAGAGCAGGTATCAAGCGATTGGGATGAGCCGCAAGGGCAAGAGAGTGCGAGACTCTGGTATTCTCATGTAGACCTCCTTGTGGGCGCAAACCAGCACCTAGTCTCGACAGAAGACCCTTCACGCGTAACCAGCACCATCGGCGTGCCGGATGACCGAATTCGTGCCCAGTTCCCGGAGCAGTGAGCACCAGCTACCGGTGGCGCGTTGGCGGGCCGTTTCGGACGCGTGTCGCGGCCGCTGTCGCGTGCCTTCCATCTTGGCTCCTACCATGATGACAGTCGACGAGGGAACATATCATCTCGCTTTCGGTTACTCTTACTAGCGCAGCTGCATACCTGAGTCAATATTAGCAGACATATGACACTGCCGAGTTCGCACCATCGGTCTCTTGACGGTTTGTCCTAGATCGTCGCCAATCATGCATTCATCCGTATCAATCTTTCGCATGCGGGCGTCCTTCCATGATTCGTTCTGCTGGGTCATCTCTCCCAGAAGGATGAGCGCAGGCGGTCGGGGCTGTAACCCTCTTCGATGCAAGTTTGCTGCCACCGCGATGAAGAGCACTCCAGAGCTCGCCCGTACAACCCTCCTTGTGGATGGCCAACAAACACTGCCCTTACTCTAACATACCGCGAGCAAGTAGGATCCGCACCGAATAGGCAGGTTATGCTCTTCATTAAGTGGACTTGGTTCCAATAGTTTCATAGGTTGCTCGGACCCGAGGAGACGACTGAACACGGTGGCTTCATATACATGCATTCATCTCTCCGTGTCGTCTCATGTACAACGACAGCAACGCCCCGCAGTCCATTTCAGCTCTGATGATGTCCTGGGACTGGCCAGACGCCAACGACAGGACATTGCTCAGAGCCGTCGACACGCTGCCATTTGTACTAATGCTCTATACTCAGGCAGTATTGGTGGTCCTACCGGCCCCTCGCCTCGTGCGAGCTGCTTTACTTCCGTTGACACTCTACTACGCATGGAATCTCGGGTCTCGCTACAACTTCGTGCGCACGATTGCGTCGCCACTTGTCAAAGTGGGCTACAATCCCGAGCGCGTGGGGTATCTACATTTCTTATTCACCGTGCGTCGATCCTCTCTCGCCCACACAATCCCTGATCTGACGTCCACTTAGGTCACTTGTGTCATCCTGGCCTGCAGAGCGATAGAATTCACCTTGGTCCCCGGGTACCGCCGATATGACCCTCCGATTGGCGATGCGCCGCCCCTCAAACGCCCATCGACAATTGGCTACGTCTTCTGCGACGCCTTCGAACTCTGCACGAATGTTCGCGGCATCGGCTGGTCCTCGACGCG